TAAAATAAATTTTTATTCATATAATTTAAAATAACATAAATACCTAGGTATATATTAGCTAATGTATATAAACTCTTAAAAAAGAATAATATAAAATAAATTAAAAACTAACAACACAAAATGAAAGGAACATTATTTATAAACTACCTAGAATCCACAAGATTAAAAACAAAACAAAGCAAATGGCTACCGTTTACCGGCTCCAAGCCTCAACGGCAACGCGTCTTTTGCCCTTTCCTTCTTCCACAAATAGAAAAACTCTATTTGTCGCTGTTTCTCCTAGAAAAATACTACTATATATTACTTAATTGTGAACATGAATGATTGAAACTGCTGTATACCTAGGTATAAGTAGGTAGGTACTTTTTAACCTTGATTTTTGTAGGAGAAATTGATTTTGTCTATATGTGGAAGAAGGGAAGGACAAAAATATTTTTAATATTTACATAATTAAATATGAATAAGTATGCATTCAACTAATTACAATTTTAAAATATTTTATAATACCTACTTAATTAAGTACTTAAGTACCTACTAATTATTTTTGAAATATTAATGAAAATTATCTATATTTTTTTATGTTTAATTATACAACCTTCAATCTAACCAAGAGCACTTACACCACAATCCACACAACAAGGTCTGTTCTTCCTCGTTTCGCGCATACTAAAAATCACGGAGGTAGGCAACCCACTGCAAAAAGTTTAAAGGCGGCCATTTTTGTTGTTTACAATCTTTATGCTTTGGATTTATACAGATTAATAATCGTTTTAAACGTTGTTAGTTTATTGGATTTTATTGACATAAGTTGAGTTTGCTCCTGTGTGTTCCGGTTTGGTTTTATTGACGTTACCAGTGTGAAATTCACACTGTGAATCAGTTGAGTGCGCTCCTGTTTGTGTTGATTTTGTCATTGGCAGTTGACTGTACTAGTGCCTATTTTGAAATAAACTCTATAAAAGCCAAAGAATGGATTGAGGCTGCTGATAATTCAATGGTTAATATGGAAAAACCAAAGTCTCGTAAGTTCCACTACAATGTGTGCAAAACATAATTATTAATGTATATTATTTACTTAGATCGAATTTGTGCTATACATTTTGAGCCAAAATATTTGGTAAGGCATCCACACGAAGTTTTATATGGTTTGTCACCACCTAAAGCTTACCGAGGCCTTACTGAGAAAGAAAAGCCAAAGAATGGATTGAGGCTGCTGATAATTCAATGGTTATAATGGAAAAACCAAAGTCTTGTAAGTTTCACTACAATGTGTGCAAAACATAATTATTAATGTATATTATTTATTTAGATCGAATTTGTGCTATACATTTTGAGCCAAAATATTTGGTAAGACATCCACACCAAGTTTTATATGGTTTATCACCACCTAAAGCCTACCGAGGCCTTACTGAGAATGCTGTTCCAACTTTGCATTTGCCTGAAAGGTAATATTATATTATTGTTAAGTGAAGAGTCTTCAATTAACAATATTATACCATTTATTTTTTATATCTGTTAACTAATTTTCCAACTATGAAATTTACAGATCCGAAACATTAGAAATGGTTGTAGATCTACCAAATGAAGCAACTTGTGCCAAAAAGGTAATATAAATTATTTGGAATAAAAAACATAATAATATGAATGTTATTTTTAAATTAGCAGTTCTGAACCATTGGATGACCTGCCTAATAATGCCAAATGTTACAGGAAGAGGATAAAACAAAAAATTAAAATATGTCTGCCCTTTACATATATTTTTTTTAATTTATTTGGACATTGGACCTTTTTCCAAAGGTAATTTTTAAAATAAAATAAAAAAACAAAAATGTACTAATAAATAATTAATCAATTTTACCAAAACTGTGATATATATACAATTCAATACCTTTTAACCAGTGGAAACCAAAGAAAAAGGTGGAAACTATTATAGTGTAGTAAAAATTAAGTTTTAAATATTCGATTTTATATGAAATTGTTATTAGAAAGTATTGTTATTAAAACGTATTTTATTAAATTTTGTGTTAGTAGTTGACTAGTTAACCCTAATTAGGGATTAAATATGTTACCTAGGTTTTTATTATTATTTTTTTAAATAGGCTAAATTGTATTATTTTATAAGCATGAAGAAATATATTTATTTTGTTAAATTATATGTAAAAATTTAAGTGTACCTATTTAAAAAATACTATTTATGTTTAAGTTTATTCATATTTATTTTGATTATTTTTTATTAAAAATCTATATTATATTTAAATTATATGTAAAAATTTAAGTGTACCTATTTAAAAAATACTATTTATGTTTAAGTTTATTCATATTTATTTTGATTATTTTTTATTAAAAATCTATATTATATTTTTTTGTTTTATTTATATATCTACTTGCTAGAAATCCTACGTTCACCATTAATAATTTCTGTACTTTCAAAAATTAATTTACTACAAAAATTATCAATTTGCAATTAAATTATTTTGATTTATATTACTTTATCTTAACTTTTAATTTCTAAAAAAATCATTGACTATGGTCATGTACATCTATTTTTACTTGCTAAAATACTTTCATCATTGATAATTTTATTTAAAGATTTTAATATTGCCAATAATCAATTTTTAAGAAAAGGTATTAAAAGTTATAATAATTATTATTAATTATTAAAATAATTATTGATTACCATATTGTAAAATAATGTTTAATTTACACAAGTAATAGTGTACTTGTGTTTATTTTAATTATCACATTTCTGTTTATAAACGGATACGTTAAAACTTGAAACAACTATATATATTTACTTGCTCAAAATACCTTTTTATAAAGATATCTTTAATAATTTATTAATTAAATTCCCCAATTTACATATTTTTGTCAAAGCTTTTGTTTAAAACAAACATTTGCGTTTACATTAAAACTTTAAACAACTTTTTATTTTTAAATTAACAGCGGCAAATAAATCAAAGATGGTGGCCATTAAACTGTTCACGTGGTGCGCATAACAGTCCTGATTTTCGTTCGCATTTTATCGAGGAAGAACAGACCTTGTTGTGTGGATTGTGACTTACACTGTATTTAATATTTCTCAGTCTTTGTATCATGTATAGGTGGCGTTTTGTACGCACACTTACTTGACTTAACGCTTAATATGTTTTAAGTTAAAATTAAAAAAAAAAACCCTAGGAATAAAAAACAATATTGACATAATAATTATGGAACACTTTAAATGTTTTTATATTATTTCTCAAGATCACAATGTTTGCTAATGTCGCATTAGGAAATCGGCATATACAATATAGGCCTATGCTTTATAGAAACGTGTTAGACACAATTCAAGTCATTTAAATTATTACGATCGATGTATCGAATTTACGGTTTTATTAAAGTTAATACAATAACATTCCATATAATTTCGTGTTAGAGACATCCTAATCTTAACGTCAAGAATGAACTGTTTAATTAACGTAAATTCAGTATTGTCACAATGATGAACATTTAATTTTTTTTTATAGACATCACATTTTAAACGTAACGATATTACTGTTTTGTTGATGTATATATGGTGACAGTCCCATAACGTCACAAAATTAATGGCTCATAAATGTTGATCAGGGCAAGTAGAAATCCGGACGTCCGAGAAACATTTATGGGACACATTTAAAAAGAGAGCACATATTTGTATTTGTATATGTCCTATATACAAAACGTAGGTTAGGTAATTTAAGTGAGTGTTTAGTTTTAGTTAGTTCTTTCTGCACACCCGAAGATGGAGAAACCGCAAGGTATGTGCCATCTTCCAGCTGCAACTATGTTGCAGAAAAGCTAGTTTGTGTCCGTTAGTTAGCAAAACCATTATTATTATTGTGCATTACGTTATATACCATTAGCTTTTTCAAGAGAGGACTGCTCCTTAAGAGCAGGGGTGGAGGAATTCAATTTCGGGCCTCTCAATTTCTGTCTATGAAACAAGATTGAGACGTAAATTTTAAACGTTCAAAATGTGACCTTTTTGAGAATGTAACAAAATGTTTCTGAAACGTTCTTTGTCATACTAATTAGTACCCTGGTATATACTGCCCTACTATGAAGAAAGGCAGTAACTGCTAAAAAAGAAATTTATGGAAAATTAGCATAAACTACATTTTTATAAAAAGCAGTAGGTATTTAATTGATTTTTTTAACTTATGAGATATTTGACTTCATTTCTGTGTTGAATTCGGTTACAAAATGTCCATAGCTTTACCATTTTTTTGAAGTTACTGCCTTTCTCCATAGTAGGGCAGTATACTCCTCACTTCCCTTGCATTCAAATTTAGAAGTAACAGATATTTCAGAAACTGTTTAAAAAAATGACTGGCCCGGTCTGGAACAGTATATATTATCTATGTTCTCATAACAAAATACTGTTTAATTTTCTCCGAAAACTATATAAACAAAATGAGGTCAAAAGTTGCCCAACTTTTGTAGAATCACCCATATAGTAATAATTTTTTGTGTAAAACTTGAATAGTAACCTTAAACAATGCACAAATATTGTATACTTTATTTTCTAAAATTTTCTCAAAATGTAACTGGTGCGACATTTGAACATTTTATCGAGTATTGAAACTCTTCCATAATATATTCTTAATGTTAGTTATTTTGTTAAATAACACATCTGATTTTTTGTCAAGATTTCGTGGAAATACCCAGAAGTATCTTTCTAAAATTATAACTTTTCCAAAGTAGTGTTCATTTACACTGAACAGTGAAAACGTAAAAGTACCTACATTGTTGAAGTACACTATTTTAGGTAAATTGACACTTTTTAATACAGTGTAAAATTACTTAATTCTCAGTGCATTATAAATTAACTCTAATTATTGTGTTATAAAGTTTTATTTATTGTTGCTTAGAGTTAAAAAATTTTTACTCATGAGCATAGATTTGTTTAAAATGTAATAAATAAAAGTAAAAAATCGAAACAATAAATTTGAAGAGTACTTTAATTACTTTTTGTCTTTCAGGTGCTTTGTCGATGGGTCTTGAGCGTGAAAAAGAACTACCGTCCTGTCAAATACCACAACTGGCGGCACGCTCTCAACGTCACCCAGACCATGTTCGCCATGTTCAAAACCGGTAAAATGGACCGATTCATGAGCGATTTGGAGATGCTGGGTCTGCTGGTCGCGTGCCTTTGCCACGATCTCGACCATCGAGGCACCAATAACGCTTTCCAGACGAAGACGGAGTCCCCGCTGGCGATTTTGTACAGCACTAGCACGATGGAACATCACCACTTCGATCAGTGCGTGATGATACTAAACACTGACAGCAATAATATTTTTCAAGTAGGTGGGTTTGGTATTACTTGAGTTTTTAGGGAGGCAAAACACATGCAAAGTTTGCTAAAGTTCTTTTACTTATTCTGCTGGTTTTTTAAGGTTTTAAATTTTACTGAACAAAATATAACAACAGTGGCGGATTTACACATTTTCAAGGTATAGGCTGAATAGTTTTTGCCGCCCTTGCCTCAACAATTGTCATATCATACATTATTTTTACAATGCAACAATTTCGTTGAAACTGCACGTAAAATAATTTTTCGGTATATTTTTGAGCTAATCGAAGCTCAATCATGTATGGGCGGGGTAATGTATGCTATTTACACAATAATGAACATTTGGTAAACGTAAATAAATAATCTTTATTGCGCTTTGAAACAGTTAAAAATAATTGACTCAGTCATATTTTTTACAATTTCGCTCTTTTCACTCATAAGAAATGTGGGCAAAGGGCGCAGAGGCGAGAGGCCGATTACTGGTTGAGGGGCGGCGAACTAGCTGTTTTACTCTAGAATATGAAAGTTTGCTACTCTCGGAATGTGCAATGACAAGTGAGAGAGAAAAGTTATCGACAAAATTTGTTGCAGACTTCTATCTGTAAGACATCAGAAAACCGTCATAGAAAAATCTTTTTGATTTCTATGAGGTAAAAAAAAAATCGTTCCCCAAATTTGCCGCCCCCAAAATCTGCCGCCCTAGGCTCGAGCCTACTCAGCCTGCTGGTAAATCCGCCACTGTATAACAATTAAATGTTATATTGTTATAATTAATTAATAAAGCAATACCATTATGGAATAATAGGTTTAAAGAATGATTAATACATTTACTAATCAATCAATAATGAATTCTCTTTAACGCGAATATTAATTATCGACTACAAACGGTACTTAACGTCAATTTAATGTAATTACCTGCATGCTGGTTCATAGAATCAAGATTAAACAAATTTGTATGCAAAGTAAAAAAATAAAAACATTACCCCGAAAAAACTGGATAAGTAAACCAAATCCTATGTAAGTATTTCCTTCGAGTGCGTGTTTACTTTAAACCACAATTTTTTGCAATATAATAAAAAATAAACATTTTATATATTCTTATATTCTTATGGAATAACCTAAAAAGAATTACCGATTTAAATCAACATCCGTTGAAAGCTTCGAACTTTTGTATTATTTTGTAAAGTTACGATAAAAGATATTCACGATAGCTTTAAACAAAAACAAATCATAGCTTATACTCGGATCTGCCATATGCTAAACAAAGAAAATGGAAAATCAATTTTATTTATATGTGCTTGGAATTATATTTGTAAATAAAAGAAAACCTCTATTTTATAGGTTAAATCCAACCCAGGGAATGTAGCTATATATAAAATTATATTCTTTAACACAGGTAGGTAAATGTATCTTTCCACAGCGCTAAATATAATTTTATACATAACTAAAATAAATATTTAGTGGCAGTCAAGTTTAATACCGATGTATGAATAACATACATGTTATTTAACTTTAGGAACAGCTTAATTAAGTTAAATTTAGTTTGTTAATTAGTATTAAGTTGTTGATCTAATACATAAAAATGTATTATTATAATGCAAATTATTGCCTTTTTGAGTATAAAACAAAAATATTAATATAATATATAATTAATATAATATGTATATAAAAGTTTTCACACACAAACTTTTTTATTATCATATATGTATATTATATATACACATATGTCCAAAAGTTTGGAATATTGCAATATTTCTTTTTTTATTGATATTTATATATATTTTTTTTATATAGGTAAATACCATTTTATAACGACTCCGACCAATAATAAATAAACCTCAAAGACAGAGAAAATAGAGTAAATATTAACAACAGTTTTTTTAAACTACCATAGGCGTAGATATATTACTTACAAATACAGATCTGAACCGGCTCAGTGAACCGGGTCTTATAAGTGATCTACGTGAACCGGTTCACGAAAATTAAACGAACCGGCTCACGGCACTGTGGGCCCTATGCCGAAACTAGGTTGCAATAAGTCATTATTGAAAATGTATAATTTGCAACTATTGGTTTATTAAAAACATATTCAAACTTGTAAAAACATAATTGCTTTTTGAAAATACTCTACGAAGACTTTTTTATAAATGCCCAATGTCAGATCTTTAATAGAAAGTATATTTTTAATGCAATCGTTTTAATTAAAACTACGATTTTTGCGAATTTTTTTATAGCTTAGAGGGCCGTGAAAAGCAAAAGTCGCCTTAAACATTTCATAACTGACATTAGACCTTTCAGTTAGTTGTGTTGGGTACATAAAATTATAGAAAATTCGTGTTTTTTTTTGTTTTTGGCAGGAACTGATAAGGTTATTACCATGAATATTTAATTTTTTAAGTTTTGCAGAGTAAAAAAATAGGAAGGCCAACGAATGCCAAGCCAAAATATATATGTTTTATTAGACAAAGATGTGGACTACTAAAAACTGTTAACCAAAAAAATCGCAAAAAATCGCGAAACTTATCCCAGTCAAAAATGTAAACCTCTGAGAAAAGAAAATATTAACAATTAATATGCATCTTAAGTTGTTTATCGCATGTATTGCTTGGGCAATGAGCAAATTATATACATGACGTTTAATATTTGTTAAAAGTGTTTACGCCTACTTATTCTTTTTATCCGTTTTTAATATTACATCAAGGTGGCCTAGATGCATTGTTAAAAATTGCTCAAAAGGCATTAAAAAATCACATTTAAGTCCAGAATTATGTTAAGAATCCGAGAATGTAAATATATAGGGGTTTCTATTTAATTTTTTGAACATGGACCCATTTCCGGTGTAACCGGAAGTGACCGAAAAAATATGCGAAAACCCTCCTCTTTATACACAATTTACCTATTACCAACACTCTGTATTTCACTTTTTATCTGCTAAACAAAGCAAAAAAGGAATCTCTAGATTTATAATTTTCAATAATTTTCGGGATAAAACATAAAACTATCGCTATATATCGATCTGTAGGTAGGTATGCAGACATTACAAAATATTTTTTTCGGGCTACACCGCTCATCCAACTTTTACAAGAGACAAAAAAGTTTTTTGGTAACCATTACAACAGTAAAAAAAATACAAGCGAAAATGAGTACCTAACCTTGCTTTTCTGATTATTCTAATATTTAAAGATAACTGAGTGTAGCACCAAACGACGTTAATTGACAGTTAAAACTTATATTCCAAAAATATTCAAAATTCATTAATACGTTTTTAAGATTTCTTAAGATATTTAAAAAAATAGTTAAAACTTGAAAGGCCTCTAACGACTAAACGAAGCAACTTAGTATATAGGTAATTTGGGTTAAATCGACTTATTTTGATCCGTAGATAACGTTGGCATGGTTTCTTATAGTAGTTGAAGATAATCCTGTATTTTATAAATTAATTTCCAAAAATACTAACGTGGCAACATTGGAAAATGAAAAAATACATTATATAATTAATTACCAGCATTGGTTAGTCTCAAAGTTTAATTATTTTTAAAGTTTTAAGTAAATATAAAAAAAATTGAATTAATGCAACCTAGTTTGGACATTGGGCCCACAGTGCACGGGTCCGAAATTACAAAGCGGCCGCGCGCAAGCCGTTCTAAGCTCCGATTCACTGCTTTACCACTCGCATCGAGTGACTCGCTATGCTGCTGCAGTGCATTGAACAGGCCGCGCATGGCGAGCCGCTCGAGCCGTGAGCGGCGGGTCGCGAGAGATCTGAACACAGACCTGTGGATCTGAACCTGCTCCCTGGAGCTAAGAACGACTCGCGCTCGCAGTACGTTTTGTTTTCTGTGATCCAGATCTGACCAAAAGATCTCGATTCTCTAGGCGCGGCTCGATCATGACTGTTGTATCATGCAGCTCGCTAGTGCCTATGCCGGTCGCATCGTTCGGAACCGAACTTCTTGCGTTCTGTGGCGCGTTACTACGTTAGGCAAATTTATACTTTTGGTAATTTTTTACAAACCCACAGAAATATGAGATGATTTCCCTTATGACAATGTCGTTTAAAATATATTTTTAATATTAATTAATTTAAATTGTGTAAACTAACAACATTTATGTTTTAAATATAACTTTTCATGTAAAATATTAAAATAATAGAGTTTTTATTGTTTTATAAAATTTTAATAAAATAAATAGTATGGTATAACAAAACTTTAATAAAATACAATGTAATATTTAATAGCCTTTATAATATTATTAAAATAACAATTTGTATTGCCTTATAATTTAATAAAGGCTTTTAAGTATTAAAGTGATAAACATTTTTAACATAAACTTAAAGTTTATGTGCTCCGAATGATTTCATTAAGTGTTATTTTTAATTAGTCTGAGATTCAAACGGTTCTTTTGAACCGGTTCGTTGAACCGGTTCACTTATGTGATCCAGATCTAGTGATCCGGTTCAAAAGAGTGACCCGGAACGCCCATCACTATTTGTAAGTATTCCAAACTTTTGGACATGTGTATATATATATATATATATATATACATCTTGAAGTGCTTAGGTCGTCCATACGAGATCCAGCAATATGTCTTCTGCCAGAAGCATAGCGAATATATTTATTTTGATAAAGTATGTTTACTGTTAGACAGCTACAATATTACGTCAAGCAAAAATATAATTTTTATTTTTGTTTAAACTGCTTGTACTTTGCGATGGTTAAGTCTTCCTTATACATTACAGTCAGTTGGTCCTCCTAGCATATACGCCTTGGACATATGTCCGATATCGGTCTTCCAGCAATACCCAATATGCTACATACTACAGTGGATACGTTAACCGGCGGTGTTGTCATATGTCTTATCATATGATTTTTGATTATCATATAACTTCGCAGGCTTTTTGCCTTAGTTTTTACAGGGTGTCCATTTAAAAACAAGCAATACGTCTGGACCTAAAATAGATATCAAAAATTGCTTAAAATAATTTCTGTGATATGCGGGGGGAATCATTAT